GCTAGAAAAATGCTGTGCCCTGGTACCTTGGTCAACAATTCCATCATAGCTCTCTACATTCTGGAACTTACAGACTAAGCAGAAGGCTGGATTTAAACAGATTATTACAAATGAGATTGAGTCATCGGGAGAATGCAAGGGGGGAGTATCAGGAGAATATTATGGAGGCATTTCCGAGGGGACCTCCCAGATAGACCCTTGGGATCAGAGGAGCCCTGGGCACATGGTACTGTGCTGAGACCTCAGGTGTGGAGTGGGGAGGGGCGTGTGGGGATGGACAGAGACAGGGCAAGACAGTGCCCTCCAGCCCCAGACAACAGCGGGGCAAAGCTGTAGAACATAGCCTGCCTTGCACACATGAGCTCCGATTGCCAGTCACTGTCCTATGTTGCTGTCTATGTGTCATTTCTTTGACCTACACAGTGACCCAGTATGGGAACAGTGGTTATTAGCTACTCTTCAGAGAAGAAAGACACTGTGGCAGACATGGAAGGATCCTACCCAACACAACACAATGAGGAGAATGGGTGGGAGAGCTGGGACCAGAATGCAGATCCTTAGAATCCAGAGCTCTTGTTCTGAGCCATTGAACCCTCTTGCCTCCCAGTGGAAGATCTCAGGTCTTGGCCTGGGACAAGAGAGATTCTCTTCCTAGCTCAGCTGGCAGTAATTTTACTTACCTCTCTGGCTTTGGGTTCTTCATTCATAGAATGATGACAATGCCTATTTCCGGTAGCCCTGGAGGAGTAAGGGGGAGAAGGTCTGAGAATTTCAGGCACAGTGTATGTGTTTATAGGATACTTGTCTTTAAGAGTAAGATAGCTGCCAGTTTGCTGCAGGCTCCATAAGGGGTCTCCTCAAATAGCTGTGACACAAAGTAAGACGTGGCAAGTGCCCTAACCAAATATGGAGTAAGGTGGACCAATGCCAAAGGGCTTAATGGCTAAAAGCATGACCTTTGTCATAACACCTGGGCTCAAACTCAGGCTGTCAGATTTGACTATGTCAGATTTTCTTCCTTTTTATTATTTTTCTAAGATTTTATTTTATTTATTTATTTTTTTAAGCAATCTCTACGCCTAGGGTGGGGCTTGAACTCACAGTCCCGAGATCAAGAGTTGTACGCTCTTCTGACTGAGCCAGCCAGGTGCCCTGATGATGTCGGATTTGAATAGTTTCTTCCAAGAAGATATATGCAAAGGACAGTGAGCACAAGAAAAGATGCTCAACATCATTAGTCCTGAGGAAAACACAAAACAAAACTCTGATATCGCTAAACACTCATAAGGCCGGCTAAAACAAAAAAGGCAAACAGAAGTATTTGTCTAAAGACAAACAGAAATATTGGCAAGAAAATCTGGTAGAGAAACTGAAATCCTCATACTTGCAGGCAGGATTATAAACCAGTTACAGTCACTTTGGAAAAACACTAATAGTTTCTCAGAAATTTAAACATAGAGTTACCATATGACCCAGGATTATACCTAGGAGAGAAGGGGTACTCAGGGAGAAATGGTGCGATACTAAGAATCGGCAAATCCATAGACAGCAAATGGACTAGTGGTTGCCTAGGCTGGTTTCGGGGAGATGGGGAGTAACTGCTGAAGGGTGCAAGGCTTATTTTGGGAGTGAAGGTAATGTTAAACAGTTAGCTAGCGATGATGGCTGTACAACTCTATGAATGTACTAAAACCAGTGAATTATATTCCTCAGAAGAAGGAATTGAATGGTATGGGAATTATATCTCAGTAAAGCTGTTAGAAATTCCAGTCTGCTGTTGGTGTTGGTCATTGACATCATCTTCCATAAAATAGGGCAGGTGACAGAGTCTAACTTAAAGAGCAGCAGGGAGGACTACGTGAGAGGTTGCACGGAAAATCTTGGCACAGTGATTGGTAGAGTGAATGGTCGAGAATTGAGAGTGACAGTGTTGGTGATTTTCCCAAAGCACGTGTCCTTTCTTTTGTCCATCCTGAAGCGTAGGGTCAGTGGGGCTTTCAGCAAAAGGCTGGGGATTCATGATGACTTGGGACACATGAAGACTGACCCTTATGCTACTACCCTCACATCATATGTGTCTCTGATGAAACAGCCTTATGGCTCCGATGTCTGTTATTTATTTCTTTACTAATATAACGGAGACCTTGCTCAAGATGTGCTCATGAAAAATTACCCTTTTAATGGTGGAGCATTTAATGAGAAACCAGATTATCTACTGCGTAAGTGTCCTTCATACAAATTAGCTTGGCCCTGGGTCCTAATCTAAATTGGGCTCCCTACTTTCCTCTAAATGGCCTAATATTTTCTTATTAATCTCTGCCCTCGTTCACCTGGGCTGGCTCTGCCTCCTGATGAAGTGTCCTCCTTGGTAGAGCTCTGTGCCTTGAAAAATGTTTCTTAAGGCTGTCTTTGTGTCTGACCCATGGACATTTTCTGGGACATGATGTGGAGGCTGGAAGATTTTTGTTGCATTTTCAAGTTGTCTCTCCAGTGGAGTTTTAATGCTGCCAGTGTATTAGGTATTGACAGATCTGGGCCAGGTGAGTTTTGGTACCATATAAAGATGAGGAAGTCAGGGAGAGTGAGAAGCAATTCATCCTGGTGGTTAAGAGCACAAGCTTGAAAACATAAGACACCTGCAAACCAGAAGTCTGGGCTTTGGCTCAGATAGATCTGGGTTCAGGTCACATTCAGCAATTTTGGACAAGTTACTTGGCCTCTCAGATGTTCAGTTTAGATCCTCATTTATAAAACCGTGAATGACCACACATATGTCTAGGGTTATTTCTGGGGCTAAACAAGTTGGTATGGACAATGTGCTTTGAATAGACCCTAATAAATGCTTCCTGTATAGAGCTTGGAGAAGCCCCACACAGTGAAAGGTATATGATTAGTGACTGAAATACTGTCCTGTGTTGAAGAAACAGAGACGGTATCTGGGACCCATATCCTTCCCAAGAGCCAGAGCCAGCCCTAGGCCGCCCCCACCCAACTTTGCACGATCATGCAGAGAGTGGTGACCTGTAGGACCACAGCTGTGGTGTTGAGCTAGATGTCTGTACAGGGTGTATCATGGCAAGTGTCTTCTTTGTTCTGTGCTTTAGTCTCTGACATCCGCCCTCACAGAATCCTGAGGCTGAATTTTTACATTGATTATAAGTTCTAACTAATCATCCCTGTGTTATATCTGCTTTGTGGAATATAATTCAAAGGCTTGAATATACCAGGAGTTAGCAAGGGTACAGTGGGATAAAGCACCAGCTGGAAATTAGGAGTCTGACTCTGCAGACATTTCTCCTTTGTGCCCTCCCTTCCTCAGCATCGTATCTTCTATGTGCTTCTTTACTGGGCTGGTAATAGTGGCGACAGCTGCCATTTTCTGAGAACTTAACCACGTGAATCCGTGCTTCGCACATACTCTCTCCTGTAAGTTACTATTCACCATAAATCTGAACGTAGATATTGTATCCATATTTGACAGATGAGGAAACTGAGGCTCAGTAGACAGTTTAGTTGGTTTTCAAGTGAGAAAGCCATGACTCGAAATGAGGATGTCCACCAAAGCTGCCGCCTTCTTACACAACTAGCGTAGCACATTGTGCATTTTAATTTCTGGTCACCAAAATCTCGAGCTTGTAGGGGCACAGACTTTGTCTCCTACGTCTGTTGCAGTGAGTTATAGCATCTGGCACAGAGGAGACCCTCAGTGAGGGACGACAGAATAAATAAGTGAACTGCAGGTTAATGCTTTTTTAGTTGAAAAGCATTATGGAGTGTTAACTGTTGCTGCTGTTTTTCCTCTGTTTTCAGCTCCAATAAATCTCAGCCACATTATAGAAAGGCCTTAGTTTGCACATCATATAGGTAAAGGGAAGTAGGCTGAGTTCTCTCTTGTGCACTCAGCTCATTCTGCCCCATGATGGCAGGCTTGATGGAGGAGTTGTTGGAAGTTCAAGTTCGTGATGTTCTGGGACATGAGCATCAGAAGACAAGAGTGCCCCAGGTTTTAAGAACCATGGTTGCAAAGTTTATGAAAGTTTGATGATATTAGAAATTTTAATTCCTGTGCATTCTTCTTTTTTTCTGACTGGGTGAACTTGGGGCAAGCTCCTTGAATTCTGTGACGTTCGTACTCTTTGTCTAGAAAATGGATATGGTTGAGGTTTTACGAAGAGTGGGGATCAGGTTTACAAAACATCTCCCAAGAAACACTCAGCTCACAGAAACTTTACTGTCCTTATTTTATGTGGATGTATTTGAATGTCTGGTTGACACATCCTAGCAAATTACTATGTTAATAATTACCGAGAAAGGCTGTTGCAGGATTTGGGCTCACCATACCAAGTAGCCTCTTTCTACACACACACGAGTTAGCAGAAGAGATATTGTAAAACCATTTTTTGATAATTGTCCCTGGGTCATTACTTGATACAAAGCAATTACGCTGGAGTCTCACTATAAAACAGCCCATGGAACTGGGTGTAGGAAGGTCTTGGACCCTGGCCAAAGTCATATGAAACGCTGGAAATGCCAAAGAGGCTTGGTGCTAATTCTACTCTAACAAGAATGTCAGACCTGAACTCTTAGTAGGTGGTGATTATTTGTTGAATACCTGGTGTGTATCAAGCTCTGTTTTGGGCGCTTTATATGTGTTGTCTGATTTAATTATCTTAATGCCCCGTTGGGGTTGGTTATTTTTAACTCGTTTTTGTTTGTTTGTTTGTTTGTTTGTTTTTCTTGCCCAAGAAAACAGAGGATCCGCGAAAACTAATTTTCCTCTGGATTTTAAAGGATAGAATCAGAATTTTTAAATTTAAATTTTTTTTTAAATTTTTACGTTTAAATTTAAATTTAAAAGGATAGAATCAGCCTTCTTTCCTACTCCACCCAGTGGTTTGACTTTCTTGGAAACCAGAGAAGGCAGCTTAGCACTGGGGATATTTAAAGACAATGGGACCTGCATACCTACATGCCTGAATCCTGCTTTTCTCTGTTTTTAGGTCAGGATCGCAGTGAAGCCACTTTGATAAAGAGATTTAAAGGTGAAGGGGTCCGGTACAAGGCCAAGCTGATCGGGATTGATGAGGTTTCTGCGGCTCGGGGAGACAAGTTATGTCAAGATTCCATGATGAAACTCAAGGTGCTGTGCAAGCATTTTACTTTTATTATGGGGGAAGGGAGTGATTATGATCATTATGGTAAAACTTTTTACTTATTCATTTATTAGTAAATTACATGGTTCACTGATGAATCACTGCATGTATTCATTGAGAAGAGATTTCAATCGTTACGAAAATGTTTATTGAGCACCTGCTATGTGGAGGTATTTTGCTGGAGCCCAGTTTTGTAACTTCTGAGCATATCACCTTTTACTCAATGTTATCTTCATTGTGCAATACCTACAAAAAGAAAAGTAAAACTGTCAAATGTTATAGTCCCCCTCAGATTTTATGAATCTTCACCCCTCTGTTATTTTTTAGTACATTTTAAATATTTACCATATGAGAAATATGGTAAAAGATGCTGTGTTAAGATAAAAGCTAATTTTATTCATTCTTATCATTCCTATTAATGTTTCCAAACACTATGTAAAAGAAAAATATTTTTTAAAGTAATATGTATGATATTGTGGGATATGGAGATATCACAGAGAGGTATCTGAAAGTAAATGCTATAAAGAAGGCCTTTTTATTGAGAAATTGAAGAAAGAAATTGGAAAAAAATTAATATACACAATAAAATTATGTTATTAAATGGCCTTTTAAAACATATGAAAAAGAGCATCGTTTGTTCCCACATTTTTTTTAAAAGATTTTATTTATTTATTTGAAAGAGAGAGGTCACAAGTAGGCAGAGAGGCAGGCAGAGAGAGGGGGGGAAGCAGGCTCCCTGCTGAGCAGAGAGCCCAATGTGGGGCTCCATCCCAGGACCCTGAGACCATGGCCTGAGCTGAAGGCAGAGGCTTAACCCACTGAGCCACCCAGGCGTCCCGTTGTTCCCACATTTTGGTCTTCATATAGGCTACATTTCTTTCTTTTAAAAAGCGATTTAAAATATTGAAAAAACAAATGAGTGAGCAGGAAGTCTATACAAGATACCTTATGCATTTAACACATATAATATAAGTATCTTCCCTATTACAGAATTCACAAAATGTTCTTTGTAAAATATTTTGAAAATACAGAAAAATATAAGGAGAAAAATGAAAATCACCCATGATACACAAAGATTGATGTCAACAATTTTATGTATAACCTATGATCTGTCTTTGTATTTTTATGTATATGATATGAATTATAAACACATGTAATATAATTGGAATTACTATTTATATAATCTTATATCCTTTTATTCTCACCTAATATTATGTTATGAGAATTTTTTTTCATATCTTCAAATAGTCCCTCAGGATACAACTTGATCAGTATATTTATTTTTTTAAGTGTAAGAAAGGAGGAACAAAAGTAAAAAAATATATGTATATATATGCAAGGCTGGCCAAGTGCTTCCAGCTACAAACCGGGACAGTATCTGTAAAACACTCTCTATGTTACCTTTTCTTTCCTATTTGCTTAATAAATCAGAGCTATTATTTTTATTTATGCTATACAAATTGTCTCAGCAGTTTAACATGGATATCAGATGCTAAGTGTCCTTGTAGTATGGCTGTAGGAATCATCATTTTAAAAAAATCTTAATTTTCTTTTTTTTTTTTAATTTTTAAAAGATTTTATTTATTTATTAGAGAGAGAGAGAGAATGAGTGAGCATGGTCTGGAGGGAGAGGGAGAGAGTATCTGAAGCAGATTCTATGCTGAGCGCAAAGCCCAAAGCAGGGCTTGATCCCATGACCACGAGATCATGACCTGAGTGGAAACCAGGAGTCAGCTGCTTCACTGACTGAACCACCAAGGCACCCAAAAATATTAATCTTCAAAACAGTGTACCCATTATTTTTTTAGCTCTTATATAACCAAGCTTTGTTTTAATAGTTATGTATCTATTATAAGGTATACTAGAAAAAGGTTTTAAAGATACCCATATCATGATTTCAGATTATCACCTTGTAAAAAGTTAATGTTTTTCCTTCCTTCCTTCCTTCCTTCCTTCCTTCTGTCCTTCCTTCCTTCCTTCCTTCTTTCCTTCCTTCCTTCCTTCCTTCATTCCTTCCTTCCTTCTTTTCTTTCCTTCTTTCTTTCTTTCTAATTAAGCAATGTTATGAGATTTTAGAGCACTCTACTCATGAGCTCTCTTCTGCTAAGCTCCAGTCTGATTGATAAGTAGATAGCAAAGTCTGAGAGGAGGAATTCTAAAGTCCAGTCTTATGACTGATAAATGCTGGGATGAAGGACGTGACCAGGATACATGCCACAGTGGGCATCCTGGAAAGAGACGGACTGCCACCCTTAGTTTGTGGAGCAGTTGGATAACTGCATCCCTTCCTGTTCCCGCCAGCCCCCGTCCAGCCCCCGAGCAGGACCTGTGATTCATACATGAGGTCAGACCAGAGGGCAGCCTCTCTAGCAGTGGGCACGTTACAGAGAGAACCCAAAACACACTGAGCTCGGAGTCCTCAGCCTCCCTCCAGACTCCCATCAGATAGAGCCATGCCTTCTCGCCCAAGGAGACCCCACTCAGGGATAGGGATGAAGGCCAGGATCTTCATTTTTGCTGAAGGTCCCTCCTTACTGAGTATGAGGCCAGGCAAATAGAGATTTGCTCCTGACAAATATTTATTAAAGGACATCAAGAAAAATCTACCAACAGCCTGGTTCTCACCCAGAGCCACAAGTAGGTCTACTGAGGAGCTGATGCTTCTTCTCCCGGCCTCCTGGTAGAGAGCCACTCACCAGGCACATGTCCCAGAGCACCCCGTCGGCCAGCTCCATTCATAGAAGCGCTGCGGTCTGAGGGGCTTGGAGCAGGAGTCTGCCTGTGCTCACTGAAGCTTCTCCGTCTGCCTTCACGGTGACTCAAGCTAGCGGGTCTAGGACTGGTGGTGATTGCTGACTTGGACCATGTGTGTGTGTTACCTGCCGTGAGGTGCCCCATCTGTCACCCCTCAGAACTGTGAGGTCCCAAAAGCCCTGAGAATTTGTCCTGCCATGACACACTCCTACTCCTGTCAGATGCATGGAGCTCGTGGAGCAGTTCTTGGTTCCCAGACAATTGTGTTTCATTATTTGCAAATCGCTGAGAAGAATGTTGACATTTCAGCTCCCAGTGGTTTCTCTCTTTAGGAAACAGAAACATAAATGATCGATTCTCCATTTGGCCACCTGCCCAGGAAAGAAAGAGGCAGAGAAGTACAAAATGCCTGTTAAACCTTGCAAAAGGGTGCACTTGTTCACATTAGGCCATATGAGAAATAAAAAGAAAATCTGCTTTCCTTTGTTAGACTCTTTGAGGCTGGTACCTTTTCCTGTTTAGAGAATTTTCTTCTGGATTGTAAAGATTTAAGAGGGGAAATCATATTCCAAGTATGAGTGGGCTGTTGCCTGTCCTCCAGCAAAACATCATTATCATTGTATTTTAATTTAGAGTCAACATAAGCATCTTCCCATCTATCATCTCTTTTGATTTTGTGAGATAGATATTAGCCTCTCTGTTTTATAAATAAGACATCTGAGGTTCATAGAAGTTAAAGGATTTGCCCCGGAACCTTCATTTAACCTGTTTTAAGCCCAGAATTTCAAACCTCAGTCTCCGGATGTCCAGTGTCTGATAAGACAGTTTAATGCTTAATTATATTCTTTTTTGTATCTCCGTTTAATTTATCTTGGTTGCCCAATGAGATTTTAAGCCCTTACTGGTAAGTTACTGCCCAGTACCCACACATCATTGACTTACAAAGTAGTCAGCTTTCAGAGTCCTTGGGCAAAACGGTGGTGGTTGAAACTCCAGAAGGGGATGGGCTCTCCCAGAGACGATGCCTGGAGGGCTAATTTCAGAGCTCTAAATATGTCAGCTGGGGTCCTCTAAGAAGCAGAGCCTACCCTGGCTAGGTGAGATGAGGACACTTTAATGAAAGAGCCACTTAGAAAGGGTAGGTAAGGGCTGCCTGGGTGGCTCAGTGGGTTAAAGCCTCTGCCTTTGGCTCAGGTCATGATCCCAGGGTCCTGGGATCGAGCCCCACATCTGGCTCTCTGCTCTGCAGGGAGCCTGCTTCCCTTCCTCCCTCTCTCTCTGCATGCCTCTCTGGCTACTTGTGATCTCTGTCTGTCAAATTAAAAAAAAAAAGAAAGAAAAAGAAAGGGTAGGTAAGGTTAAGTAAGGGAACTAGGGATGGTGATGCTCTCAGGAACCTTCAACAGTAGAAAGCAGCCACCATCCTGGGAGGAAATATATTTACTGAAACCCATAGAGAGCAGGATTGAGGAGGAAGCCCACTCCCTCACCAAGCAAGAATATAGGCACTGCCAGAGCTGTAAGACAAGGAAGGAAAGGATGTGTTCAGAATACCATGAGATCTCTCCCCAACCACCCTCTGATCTCCCGCCCGTCTTGCCCTGGTGGAACCCAGCTGGAATCCAGAGGGCAGGAAGCCCAGAGGACCAGGAATTGAAGTCCACAGGGGCCAGGCTCTGGGCACAAAGCAGAGGAGAGGAGAATATTTAAGTTCTTTTTTTTTTTTTCTTTTTAACTGGGAAAAGTGAAATTTGGGGTTAGTTTTTTTCCAAGGCTTCTATAGCTAATAACTGGGATGGTTGGAATTAGAGACCAATTTTTTGTTGTTGGTTTTATTTATTTTTTTAATCATAGAATGTTCTGGAATAGCACTGTAGGTTTTCAGCCATCCATGCCCAAAACCTGTTGTGTTTTGCTACCTGCTTTTCAGGATCCACTGAGATCATAGCTGTGTGCTGTGTGCATGCACTGTGTGCATGCACTGTGCTGGGTAGAGTTTCTCAGACCCCTCTCCTGTGCTTTCCCTTATCTCATCCTCAGGGGACCCGTAGCTGGACAGGGCAGCCTGTTAATCCTGCCTGATGCATCTGACCCTTTGTATGTCACTTCCTTCCTGGGGATGTTTGTGTCCATCATTTCACAAGCGTCTGGCACATGGCATTGCTTCATAGTATGAATGTTAGTACCCGTAATAATGATAACTGTTATTCACCCAGCTCTCCTGACATGTGACACACTGTGCTAAGTGCTGTATGCGTGTAACTATTTTCAATATCTGAACACCCTTATGAGGTAGGAAATGTGATTATTTTCATTTAAACTTTCCCTTCACTGTGTAGTCTGGGAGCCGATGGTTCCACCTGGCTGTTTGCAGAACATTTTTGACATATCTATAGTATATTGTATAGTCATTTCTTTCTTTCTTGTTTTTTTAATCTGTGATTTTCCCAAAAAAAGCTCTTAAGCAAGGTTATAATAGAAGGAAGCCCAACATAGGAATCTGAAAGATTGCCATTTGACTTTTCTCTCTGTCTTATTAGTTCCTTGAGGTTTCAGGAGGTCACTTTAGCCCCTGGCCTTACGTTTCCTTATATGTAAACTAAGGGAGATGATTTTTTACTTTCTAGGATTAGGGCATGGGCTACGTTACATGACAGGGAAGAGAACCTGTAGCACATAAAAGTAGGTCCCCAAGAAAATGCTTGACTGTGTTTTCCAGATTTCCAGCAGTGACTTAGGTGGCTAACGTGAGGCACAGAGACCCGAAAGGCACCTACAGCCACATCTTCTGACCACCCCACCCCCACCCCCCACCCAGTCCAAGCTGTCTCCTGGACCTCTGCTGGTTCTGCATCCCGGCAGTGAATAATCTTGTGGAGAGATGAGACCGGGAGGCATGCCGTCTGCTGGCAAACTTGCATGGCCTTAGTGCAATTTTTCAGAGCTTGACTCGGGGTCCTGTCTCGCAGGAGAAACATGCTTGATAAAATTAGAGTTTTATTTCCCCAAAGATAGCCCTGCACGGATAGTCCTTCCCTCTTCCATTTGTCATGGAAAGCCACCCCCAGCAGCCCCAAGCCGAAATGCTCCTGGGACGCATATGTGGGCTCTTTCCATTCTGTCCGTCCCCTTTTGTGTACAGCTGCATTCTGCTGTTAGAGGCGGCAGTGATTCAGGGAGCAGAGGACTGTGAGGACTGTTTCTGGGACAGAGACGTTGGAGCAGCTCTCCTTGATTGGAGGTGCCGCCCTCTCCCCACCAAGGACTGTGATGTTCTCTCCTAAGAGGAGTTAAACAAGAAGGAAGGACTCCTGGCTCCTTTGACACTGTCCCGCCAGTCCTTCCCTTTACAACGGAGCTACTTCTTGTTCTCTTTCTGCGTTACGTCTGGAGATCAGAAGTTGGAGGTCCAGCTACAGATAGGTAGCGGCATCAGGTGTTTGATTCCAAATCCAGCCGAGAACCCAGCATTCAAGATGAAGATTTCCAGAGTTCAAAGTCCAGCGGGCCCACTCCCTGAGGCAGGGAAAGTCACTTCCCCTTTCCCATGCCAGCTTGAGGCTGCGCTCCATTCTCAATACTGGGCATGTAGGATGGATAAAACAGAGTTCCAGGCACAAATGAGCTTTCGTTCTACTGGGCAAAGGCAGACAGTCACCAGATGAACCAATAAGTATGTCAGATGACAGTAAGGACCCGTGAGGAAAAGGGAACCAAGGAGGTGCAAAGGAGGCGGGGTTCGGAGACTGTGTCCCCAAAAAAATAGCTTTAGAAATAAGAATTACGCCCTAGGGCTGCAAAAACCTACTTTGGCCATTCTCCCCTTGTTCCTTAGAATCTCCCCTCAGTGAATTCACGGGAAAGCAAGCTGTACATTGAGGACTCTAGAAACTTCCGGTTAAGCAGAACAGTTACAGAGACAGAGGACTTAGCTTTGGGGGGGGGTGGTGAGTCACTCTCTTCAACTATTGAGAGGACAGGCAGTGCCGGAGGGTTCTCTGGTCACTGAGCGGCAGTCCTGAGGGACCTAAAGAGCAACGCTGGGGAGGGTTACCTGGAGAGGTTTTTGGCTTGCTGGAAAGAAGCCACCACGGGAAGGATTAGGTGCCCCCTGCAGCGGAAGTCTGCAGAGCTGAGTTGTAAGCTTAGCTCTCCGCCAGCCCCCTATGCTGCCTCAGCACAGCAGACCCCCTCCTCACAGACATCACTTTCCTCACTTGTCAGCAGGAAATGTGGAAGACTTTCTCTAGCTCTGACATTCTGTATGTCTGCAAGGATGTAAGTGGCACTCAAGAATGAACGGGTGACTCAGGAGGGAGTGGATTTCCTGCTAGTTGGTCCCCAGACAGGAACCAGAGCACAGAGTTTTAGGGACAGTCATTCATTTACTAGAAGAAGTTAACTTTTGTGACATCCCTGTAGTGTTGCAGGCACCATACTGGGTACTTGATATAAGTTTTCATTTAATTCTCTCCTGCATGCAAGGATAGTGTTTACACTTGAGGAAGTGGCAGTGAGAATTAAGTCATTTGCTCAAGATCACGGAGAGCCAGGAGCATAAAACCAGCCGTCGGGATTGCACAGAGCATTTCTGGTACCCACAATGAGGATAACCAAACAGCCTCAAAGGGGGTGCCCCGTCCCTGTGCCTTCTGGTCATCCCTGTTCTGAATACCGTTGCTTCTCTGACACTGGGGTCGTGAACATGCTCTTCTTATGTGAGCGCAGATGACTTTTATCTCCCAGAAACATGATGTCATGCTGATTTTCAACTTTTCTACTCCTAGAAGCCCAGAACTATAACCACTGATAATTGGACTTGATCTTGCACTCAGGGCAGTCTGATAGCAATGACGGGGTTAGAAGCTCCAGAACACTTAATGCAGATCTCTTGTCCTCACCCTCTGAGTGACACCCTCATAGGAAGCCTGTGCTTCCCTGTCATTGGCCACCACAAAAGCTAGTTTAAAAAGCAAGTGTCTTCGCCCTTAACTTACATCATATCAACTGTGGGAGATCTCTGGATAGCACATTCATCCTGCAAGAATGACAGAGTGCCTCTTCCCTCCAGGTACTGTCCTGAGCACCCGGGATAGAGCACTGAGCAGAGCGACACCCCTGCCATTTGTGATGTTTGCCTTCTAACTGACTCGGATACGCAGCTTTGGTTTATAAAAAGTTTGGGAAAGTGGGGAGACAGGGGCATTGATCAATGGGATGTGTTTGCTAGGTACCTTCCTACTGAAAAGGATAAAGGAAAACAGAAAACTTGTGTGGGTAAAAAACTGCAAACCATAAGCATGTAACTCTGGTGATCGTATTTTTTCCAGACAGAAGGAGACAAGCAGTCTGGCCGTGGTTTTTATTTTCTTTCTACTCTCTAAAATCGATTACGGTGAAAACTATCTCCGGAAGTAAAGATAAAATCACATTTAGGAACATATTCTATGACTCCTCTTTATTTAATAGGTTGAAACCATGTACAGTATGAAGGCCAACAACATATTATTAATAAGAGGATCATATTGTATTTATCTTAAGGTCTTGGATTCTGAGCTGATATCTAGGCATAAAGGAGGCGTTCTGTAAATCTTAGATAGTCATGTGAATCAGTGTTCAGGTGTCTGTTGATACAGTGTTAGATATAATGTTAGGGTACCAGTTACCCTAAAATATCAAGAAGAGGCCAGCACTCCGGGGAGGGAAGCATGGAAGGAGCGAATGTGAGAGAGAGCATTGTGAGTGATTGGTGGTATTGGTGGGTGGTATCTGACTGCCACCAGGACTGGAGGGAATCTTCAAATGTACACTCTCAAGTGAAAACCATTTCCTTCTTTCAACAGGGCGTTGTTGCTGGCGCACGTTCCAAAGGAGAACACAAACAGAAAATCTTTTTAACCATCTCCTTTGGAGGTATCAAAATCTTTGACGAGAAGACAGGGGTAAGTAAAAGAATCACATGGCATTATGAAATTGAATCCATTGACAGATGTGCCCTTAAAAGCCTCTCCTCTCTGGGCAGGAATATCAAACAAGCATAAAAACACATAAAGCGACTGACAGACTTGATCAACTGTGATCGTCCATCAAAGGGAGGCTCTTCCCTGACTTGGCCACAGTGTTTCTAATGGTGTGATTTGTGATGAAAGTGTCACACAGGCCGGGAATCTAACGGGAGACTGATGAGCTTTGACGCGCGGTGGGTGATGTGACAGCTGAAGTTCAATTTCTTTGTGTGTTGGCAACTTTAATGACATGCATCCTGGAGGGAGACACATGAATGTCTCTTGACTTGGTCAGAGCCTCTAGAGTCTCCTGAGTTTAGCCTGTGCCACCTTGCAATTGCTGTAATTGCAAAGGATGGAGTTTTCAATCTTGGGAAAATCTGTCACCGCATGACCAGGAAATGTCAGGGCTGATGTGTTTGTTGAACCTGCCAAGGAGGTGGTTTGTGTTTTTATCAGCCCCCCACAGCAGTTAGCTTGTACACTCATCCCCAGGGCTGCCCTGACTTTGGTGGTGTCCTGTTCACTGGCGATAAGGGAAAAACAGAAAAATGTTCTACGCTCTGTTTGGTGCAGAGAGCAAGAGTCAGATGGACGTGGTTTTTTCCTTTTATTCCTTCCGTGTTTTACAGCTTATAAAATACTTTACATATATCACCTCCCTTGTACTTCCCAACTTAATTTTCAAATGCTGTAGGCGCCACCAGACTCAACCGGCAGAGTTACTCAACCTTAGTCATTTTGCATTACATTTTCTCCCCTTTATTCTGACTCCTATTGGGATCCCATATGGGTAGGAGGATGATAATTTAACAGTAAAAATGGGTTTTGAAGAGAAGTTATTTTTGAATAATTAGTAATAGGATAGATATTTGTCTGCCCAGATTCATAGCAGCATTATTCACAGCGACCAAAAGGTAGAAACCATCATTGGATGAGTGGATACAGAAAATGTGGTGCCTGCCTCCAATGGAATATGAGTCCACAGAAAAAGGAAGAAAGTTCTGACCCATGCTATTACACGAAGGAAACTTGAAGACATGCAAAGTGAAACAAGCCAGTTATAAAAAGGCAAATTCTGTAGGATTCCACTTCTGTGACATATCTAGAGACATGAAATTCAGAGAGACAAAAGTGGAACGGTGGTGGTGAGGGCCTGCGGCAGGGATTGGGGGGGCATGTGATGAAGAGTGAGTGTTTAGTGAGTATAGAGTTACCATTTGGGAAGAAGAAAATGGCGCTTGTGATGGATTGGGGGAGGCTCACTGTACAACGCTGTCCTTGCACTTTATATCCCTGAACTCTATGCCAAGAAATACTTAGAATGGTAAATTTTTAGTTATGTGAAGTTTACCATTATAAAAAAGCTTGTGGTGATAACTCCCCTTCATGGGGTACCTACTGTGTACTAACATGCATGTCAGTCATGTTACATACATGATTCAGTTTTGCCCTCACAGCGGTCTTATGGGAAAAACAATAGCAACAATTAATTCATCAAGCACATAATATGTGCCAGGCATTATTGTGAATCCTTTGTAAATACCAGTTCTGTTAACCCTCACGACAGCCCTGTGAGGTAGATGGCGGTACCCTCTCAAGTTTATAGCTGGAGATACTGAGGAGAGAAACGTAGTCCTAATTTATTGAAAGTAAGTGGTGGTTGGAGACAGGATTAGAATCCAGGTTAGTCTGCCTCATGAGTCTTCTCACTCAGCCTTGATGCCTGTTATCTCTCAGGATAAGTGACCTTGCTAAGGTTATCGAGCAAGTAGGAGGCAGAACTGGGATTTTGCCTCCTATTAGCCCAAATCATTGTCAGGGCAGTTGAGCTCTCTATGGTCAAGAGAGGTGGGCCTACCTGGGGATGCTTTGGGAGAAGGGAGTTTAGAATGAGGGCACGAGCACCAGGAATAAAGGAGCTT